GGTCCAGTGTTCAGCATCAGCGGGGTGTTCTTTTTCCCTCCTTCAGGGTTCCCTGGGGCCTTTGGCTTTGGGAATGGTGAGTTGGACTCCTCTAGGGTCAAGGGCAGGGGAGAGGAGGAGGGGCTGCCCTAAGGGGTGACCTGGCTCTCCTACAGGGTACAGGAAGGAAGTGCTCACAGACCCCAAAGTGGCAGCACCTGCTCCTGAAGAAAATGGTGAGACCTGAGGCTCAGGCAGCAGGGCTTCTGGTGATGGGGGCTGGAGAGAGGGAGGGGTCTCTGGAGCATCCCAAATGTCCAGCTCTGGGGTCACCGTGGTCTATGCAGGCTCTTTTCCTACAGGCCAGGTCAAGGCTGTCAGGGGCTCCCCCTGGACCTCCCTCCAGTCCTGGGGGGCTGCCTCCAAGCTGGGATATACAGCTGGGGTTGCCTATGCACCAGTGGCGAGCCAGCCAGGTAACGTGGTGTGTGGCATGCAAGACCTGGGTCCAGGGAGCCCTGGGGAGATGAGGGAATGGTAGGGGTGGGTCAGGAAGGCTGAAGCATTTGCAGGAACAGATGGGGCTGGGGGAGAGGGCAGCAAGGTTAGGGTCCCTGAGCCAGGGCACTGGCAGGCCAAGGCCAGTGGAGATTCAGGATCCCCGCTCTCCTCTCATCTCAGGGCCTTATGGGCAACTGAGACCTAAGCTGGGTGCTGGGTCCTTTGGTGAGTGGGGGCGGGGTGTCTCACAGAGTCTGGAAGGAAGCATGGGTGGGCTGGAGAAGCCTCAGAAGCCCTCTGACTGGGTGTCCCTGATTTGATTTGTCCGTCTGCGCATTAGGGCCCCCTGAGAGGAAGAGCGATGGCAATGATCTACTTGGAAATGGTTATGGAGGTGAGGGGGAAACCACCGTGTCCCTCCAGGATGCCCTGGGGGAGGCACCACCTTTGGGAAGGGTGTGGGGCCCTCGGGCCCCCTGTAGGTTTCTGCCTAGGAACTGACCTCGGACACCAGAGGAGGGAGAGGACAGAACCAACCTTTCCTTGTCCCTAAGCTCCTTGTCCTGCCCAGCAGATCACTGTCCTTTTGGGAAGTGCTGAGCAAGGAGTGGCCACTGCTAATCTGGGGGCCTCGGCATCCAAGCCCACCTACCTGCCCTGGAGGAAGGCTAGACCCTGGGCTTGTCACCTCAGGCTGGCAGAATCAATAAAGACTTATCCTTGGCCCTCATGTGTATGTGTGTGTGTGTGGGGGGGGGTTCGGCCTGCGGTACAGGTGGAGCAGCCTGGGCTTGCACCCTCCATTACACACTGCACCCCCTCACTCACTCAATGTGGCCACACGTCGGGTGCCATGTTGAAGGCCAGGAGACTGTGCCTCAGACAGGCTGGATCCCTCCCCCACAGGGCGAGGTGCTCCCAAAGTAGGGGGGACAACCCTGCCTGGCTGAAGGGACTGGGGCAGGAAGACACACTTGATAGGTGGAGTTTTAATTAAACACCCAAATTTGAAAATTGCCTTTTTATTTATGGTTATTGAGTGGGGGAGGTGTTCACAGAACACGTCATCATTTCTGCAGCCAACAATTTATCCAACTTCCCCAGGACTTGTATTTTATCATTGTTTGTTTTGTTTTTCCTCTCATCTCTCTCTTACCTTCCCCATCACCCAAGAGAAGGCTTTGGCTCCCTACTTGGAGGAAGAAGCCGCTGTGTTAGGCCAGGTTGACTAGAGAAACAAACGCGATATGTATAAGAAAGAGCTTTATATCTCAAAATAATTATCTACAAATAAAAGAAAGAATTATATAATGAGAAAGCACCCCAGCCCAGCCCAACTCAAGTCTCGAAGACCAATAGTACTAGTCCATAAGCCCCTCCTCAGACTCACGTAGCCACATGCACGGTACAGAATACTGGGATATCACAGGCCGGTTCGTGCAAAGTCGTGTGAATCCAATGGCGGTGGATGCATCTCCAGGGCTCTGGCAGCAACCAGGGTCCACCAGCAGGAAGGTAAGGCAGAGAGAGAGAGGGAGGGAGGTTCCCAGGACTTTCCTTATGAGAAGACCACGCCCACAAGGAGTTACCATCAGGCTGGGACCTGATTGAGAGGCCAGACTCCACCCCTACACTTTGTTTGTTTTTTTCACACACTTACATAGCTTCAACTTGATGTGAAATTATGTAACTACCTAGAAGGAAGGATGGCCAGACTTCG